GCTATTGTTGTCTCCTTTGTGCCTTGTTGACAGTTCTTTTATTTATATTTTTTGGTGCTGCCACAAACCTTTTTACTTATGCATGGCATATATTTCAAAAAATTTTTTAAATTAATATTATTTTTGCCTTTGGATTGAACATACCCCACCGAATAAATTGAAAGATTGTGTACGTGTTTTTTTTTTGTTGTGCATTTGACGTGTAAGTTTGATTCGTGTTCAAGTATATTAGGTTTAACAGATTGTAGGATTTTACGGGTAAAAAATTGTAGTTTATTTACGTAAATTTACAATATAAATACCATAATGAATACAAAATTTGCGATGCCGTTTAAATTTCTCTTGATTGTCATATTTTTAAATATTTGCAATGCTCAAAGAGTTGTGCCTGGTGTAAATCCGCAACACTACGTGAGTTTCTCTAATCGACTTTCAACGTATTACATTTTTATATTAAATATATATTTTATAGCAACAAGTTCCCGTGCAACAACAGCAGCAATATCAACAACAACATCCGCCTCCACAACAATATCAACAACAACAACAAGTGCATCATGCACCTGGTGTAGCGCCGCAACATTACGTTAGTTCAAAAATTTTTATTAAAATTTTCTCTATGATTTTATATAACTAATTTTATAATACGAATTTTTTTAGCAACAACAAAATGTGCAATATCAGCAAGTGCCTGCACAACAACAACAGCAACAAGTACCGGTACAACAGCAACATCAACAACAACAACAACATCCACCAGCACCGCAAGTTCAACAACAAGTTCATCCAGGACAACAACAACATCATGGACATCATCCGCCCCAGCAAGTTCTGAATGCTGCAAACATTGAACATGAAAGGGCGTAAGTACACATTTTTAAAAATTGTTAATAACACTTAACAATCAAAACAAAACAAAAATTTTCAAATTTTACTTTTTATTTTTAAAATTCCGATATGAAGTTTTTATCTTAAAAGTGTTTAGTTATGACCATTTTTATATTATTTTCTTTTGTATTTTAATACTATAATATTATAAATTGATAGATAGTAAATGTCCACTGATAGATTAAAATTGTCACTTTGTTATCAAAAATAATTTATTTGGATTTTGGTATTAGATTATTTTTATTTTACCAAACAAGTTTAAAAAAAAAATTCAATTTGATTATATTTATTAAAAATATTTTAATAATTAGATTATTAGAAATATTTTAATAAATTTAAATATCTTTAATTTTTAATATTTATATTTTATAATTATATAATTGAAAATATGATTTTTTAAAGAAAGTAATTTTATTGTTTACAAATAATATTTATTTATAAGTACATATTATATTTAATATAAGTTCGACAATTAAAACCAAACGAACATTATTCGATTAGTAGTTCAACTTAAATTTAATTTTAATATTTTAAATACAACTCAGGATGAAAAAAAAAACGTTTTAGTACGAACATTACTCCCACTTTGATATTATCAACTAATTTTTAATTTCAACTGAAAATTTAATTGTAAAAAAAACCGGTTAACATATAACTAGAAATAAAAAATTATAGTACATGCATTTTCATACGTAGTATTCCATGTCTTAGGGACGACAAAACCTCATAGCCTAGATTAAACAGAAATAAAACAAAAAGCCTGAGCAAACCTAAAGTTTGCATACTTACTGGAGTACTAACGTGGCACTGTGCAATGCTTAACGGTGGCGTATTCCAACAAGTGGACTGTACAGGAGTTGCCATGATGATTTTTATGCTTTTGTCCGGGACTAAAGACTAAGTGACATCAATGTCTTAGAATCCGTTTCTTAGCTTTATCTGGAAGACCAAATGGTTTAACAAAGAGATAATGGATAATATCAGGAGATAACAATTAGTGTAACTCACTTATTCCAAGCAATTTTGTGGTCCTCACAATAAGCAATAGTGGAAGTACTGACAGTTATATCAGCACAACCTTTGGATTTTAATAAAGAACAGAGGACAAACAGTGAGACCCGGAGTGAAAGAAAAACAACATAAATGTTGACCAAAAATACGTCTTAATAATTGTATTTATACAGACAATAGCATGTCGTAAGGCATAGAGAAGAAGAAATGAGCCACATATACAAAGGAAAAGAAAGGAAAAGAGCACAGATGATGACCTATATCACGTCTTCTTAATTGCATTGTAAAGGTTTTGAATTTTTAGTGAAAAATAGAGAAGAGGCAGAGAGAAGTAGGAAAAAAGCAAGCTTTCTACAACGACCGTGTCTATGTACTGGAGCCATTCAGGCTACAGTTCAGTTCGGCCGCTAAGTGGCATTTAGCATTCCCAAAAAGGACTGCACAAGCATATCGTTCTGGGCTACAATAAAAGGAAAATAATAAAAATTAATAAATGAACCAGAGTTGTCGCTCTTATTGAACATGATGATAAATTGAATTTTTCTTTTTGTTGTTAATTGTTATAACATATATAGATTATTTTATTAGTTTCTCCTTGTTCTGTATTGATTGTTTAATTTATTGATTTATTTAAAAATGAATAATTTTATTATAAAATTATTTATACATTTTACAAATAAATGTTGTTGCTAGTTAAAAAAAAAAAAACAATTATCTAATGTTGATGTATTTACAGGCATATCCAAGAGCATATGCAGGTCCCAATTGATACAAGTAAAATGTCGGAGGCTGAATTACAATTTCATTATTTCAAAATGCATGATTCCGATAATAATAATAAATTAGATGGCTGTGAATTAATAAAATCACTTATTCACTGGCATGGTAAGATGAACAACTTTTTAAAATTATTTTTATTTTATTTTTTTTTAATTGGTATAGAGGTTTTGTTAATACCCATTTTATTTGTTTTTTTTTTTTCATAAAAATTTCTTCATACCATAAACTACTTATGCGGTACTGGTTTTGGTTCGGTTCATTGAATGACAAATAAAACTATTTTCATTGTGTCGTTTTCAATTAATTTGATAACCCATTAAAACTACGCTATCATATAAAATAAAATTTCAATAAATAAATGAAATAATATACATAGAACAAGGCAGCAAAGAACAACATACTGATGCCCAAAAACCACACATTGAAGAAAAGATTTTCTCTGATGAGGAATTAGTTGCTCTAATTGATCCCATTTTACAAATGGATGATACATCACGTGATGGTTTTATTGATTATCCAGAATTTATAAAAGCTCAACAAAAAGCAGCAACAAAACAGCAACAACAACAGCAGCAACAACAGCAAAACTAACAAGACGCGTAAACATTAAAAATCGCTAAAGATTTCCAATTGATCTTGTTTAATTTCATCTTGTTTTCTTTTCATCTCATCAGATAGATTTGCGTCCTTGTTTCCTTAAAGGCATATGTTTTTTTTTTTAAATTGTGTTATTAAAATAATAAAATTATTTAAATTTTGTTAAAACGTGAAGTCATTCCATTTAAGTAACAAAAAATCTTCCAAATTCGAACAAATTTATAATTAAAATTTTTAAAAATTTACAAAATTACATGTTTTAATTGAAGGCGCTTTTAAGTGCACAAAAATATAACTTTAAACTCGAATCTCGATTTAATTATAAAACATGACATTGATTGAAATTAAAAATAATAAAAAAAGCTTTATAAATTTATAAAAAAAATATGTGCTATTATTAAATTACTTGTTAAAAAAACATGGAGATTTCTATGTTTTGTATACACTCTTTTTGATGAGCTCTTTGTACATCCTAGATTTAAAGCTAATTTAATAAATAATAAAATTATATGCACTTTTCTTTTCTACTGCAAATTTCTAATATTTATTTAATGTTTATAAAATAGACATTATTTTGAAAATTTCGTATTCCAATTAACTTAAATTAGTAAAAGCTTATATGTTTAATACCATTGGAAATAAAACGACTGATGCAATCAACTAAATGTTATGTACAAATAAAAATACAGCGAGTGTTCTGTTCGCAACACTTGTTGAAACCATTAAATAAAAATAATAGTAAATTAATTTTAATTTAATTTTTTAATCTTGCTTTTGTCTTAACGTCTTGCTTGATATTGCCGTGCATTCATTTCAAAAATGTGCGTTCGACTTTCAATTAAACTTTAAACTTTAGCGGCTTCAATTGGTTTTGGTGAGCCAAAATGTTGTTTAGGTGTTGCATTTGTCAAAACAGAAATTTATTTAATCAATAATATTTTTGCTTACGCAGTTAAGGAAAAACCAAAACTAAATGAAACAGATGGCAACGAAGAGCACGATACCAAAATATATACCGATAAGGAATTGTCCGACGTTATTGATTATGTGCTTAATACAATGGATAAGAATAGAGACGGCTTCGTTGACTATGCGGAATATCGCGAAGGTGAAGAAAGTGCTGCTAAGGGAACAGGGCAATAAAAACGATCAATTTATTAATACTTTTTATAAATAAATGTTTGTTATAAATATAGTTGTAAATGTTTTTTTATATGTTTTGTAAAATTTTTTAATAAATTTTGATAAGTTAATTAACTAGTTTTATTTTCAATGATTTTGTATTAACAAACAGTAAATGGTAATAATTCTTTTTGTTGTAACTCGCTGGGATCTACTTGTAATATCCTTTTGATGGGTGGTGAACTGCACTTTGGTCTGGTACGTAGCCCTGGCCGGTAATAATTATTGTGATCGCTGAATCACGAGAACAGTGGAACGATATACTTTACAACAACAACTATTAGATGTTGTTTATAGCCATCTTATTATATTATATTGTTTAGTTAATATTTTTTTATTAGACAACTCTCTCTCTGTGATTTTTCTCGTTGAATACAAACAAAAAGAAAGTTATTGCATAAATTATGCGCTTTGTTGTTGTCACAGTTCGGTGAGACCTATAGGACAAAAACCATGATTGCATTAGAAGAAGAATTCATACGTTAGGATGGGATATCAAAAGCTTATAAGGTATTGAAAGAAAGGATATGGATATGTATGGGATGCCAGGATTATCCTGGTCTCCGACTCGGAGCTTCAAGGCAGAGAAACCCAGCTAATTCAGTTTCAAATCAGTTGGATTTAAATTAGTGTGTACATGAGAATTAAACAAGCTGTCGCCAGTTGGTAATTTCGATTGCTTTTATATCGTTGGAGGTTCTCTATCACGTTTCCTTACTCTAGCGGGTACCGAATCAAATAACTTTCTAGTCAGAGTATTTTTATCTACTCGTACAATATGACTAAAATAGTAAAATCGCTGAATTATATATATTATACATATTTAATAATAAGATTGAAAAACTATACAGAAAACAGAAAACTAATTATAAACAAATTTGTTACTTTTTAATTAATATTTAAAACATAAGCTTTTAATTAGAATTCTTTATATTTTCAATTTTAAATTGTGAATAATTTTAAGCTAGAAGGCAAATTTATATAAATCCAACACCTCCGACAGACTACTATCAAGTCATTGTCGTATTCTTTGTTTTTCAATATATTTTAAGTAATATATTTTTAAATAACTCTAAACAATGTTTTTAGACTTAAAGCATAATACTTATGTTAAAAATTTTTGAAATTGAATAATAAAGAAGTATCTATTTATCTATCATATTTTATAATAATAATAAAATCCGTTTTGATAATGAGAATATTTTTAGAATCTAATTTAATTAGACCGATTCGAATAGCAAAGAAAGGATAAAGACAAAAATTTTTTATTTAATATATTGAAATTTGGCTGACCATACAACGCTGTTTCGAGTATTGCCAAGTACTCTTCATCAGTGGTCTTTGGAGGTAATCGAATTTTATTTAATTAGTTTATAGTCCGTTTATAATTTGGTTGGACTGCAAGTGCCAGGCTTAGAACTCGTGCCTGTCAAATTTAATTACTTTGCAATGTAAATAATGTTGAGGGTTTTTGCTATATGGAAATATATACATATATTATTATATATATGTTTACTATTATATTTTAACAAAAGTATAGTTTTTGTTCTAGTGATTTCCTAGTTATCGAATCTTACGGTATAATTTAAAGAAAAACATTCAAGTTCGAGGAGAGCGACTTGTACGCATGTTCCAAAATATGCCGGCAGTTCTAGAAGAAAAATATGTTGTCAGTAGAGATAATAATAAATGCGGTGAAGATGCAAGTGTTTATCGACAGACTCACAAGAGCATAAACGGCAAGTGAACTACACAGTACACAGTTCGACGACTAGGAACGGTAGACAGACAGACAATCGTAAAAAATGTCAAACGGAAAGTTGTGCAATTTTGTTTAATATAAGAAATATTAAAACAGCTCCCCTGATAATATCAAAATAATTATTTAATACAGCAAAACGAATATAGAATTTATAAACAACGACACTCACTGCAACATCGATGCCAAAATGTGCGTATTTGTTTTTTTTAATTTTGTTGCGCTATTAATAATTCTATTAAAATTAAAAAAGTTTTCACATTCTTCTCAACAGAAAGAGTGTTTGTTAATAATAAAAATACTTAAATTATAGTTCATGTTGATTTGGTAACAAAATTGTATTTGAATTGTATTGTATTGAAGTGAAGTGAATTGCAAAGGAACATTTTTTTGTTTAATCAAATATTGATTTTACGTGCTCGAGCTTCACAGGAAATAGACTTGCAATTCTTGTCACAGTTGTGGTTTATTTGGTTGGTTTACGGTTTGTTTTATTGCAGTTGCTTTGTTGTTGTTGTTTTCCCTTTGTTACTTTGAAGTGTTATACTTGGACTGAGTGGTTGGTTCATTTTACAAAAGATTCTTATTTCGCATGAGATAGGCAGCGTTCAATGACGTTTTAATCCAATAAAATTTTAGTTACAATTGTTGTTCTTCTCGTTGTTATATTGAATTTCATTTCCTATATGCATTTATAGTATATAGTATTCAGTTATATGGTATAAAATGTAGGTAAGTATGATCTATAAAAAGAGTTTTGAGTGAGTTTAGTTTCATTGTATTTTTCAAGTGCCATTTGTTTCTATCAAATATTCTTTTACGGATTTAAAAAATAGATTGATGAGGAAGTTTTTGTAAAGTTATTTAAATAAAGTTTAAAAAGTAATCACAAAATGTCACAGAATTCAAAATGCGGTTAATTGAATATAAATAAAATGATCGTTAAAAATTGAAAGACAGGTATGGTTTCTTAATTTCAAGCAATTATAAAAAGTCAAGCATCGATTATAGCAGATTCTATAGAGTTAATAGATAAATGATTTGTTTTGAACGTATTTAATGAAATAATTCAAGAGAATTAAATGCAATTTTGATTGCGTACTAAGGCCGTGTGCGAGTTCGAGTAAATTGAGGTAAAGTAAATTGAAATATTCTAGGGATTTTTTGCACTGTACTTATGTAAATATTTTTTTATATATTTATTGCACTTATTTATTATTTTTTGTTAATTTTTTAGTTTTCAACTTTATTTATTAAATATCTTATAAAATTTTCACAATGGTATCACCTAATTTATCTAATCTTTATCTAATTTACCCTTCTTGAAATTCTGGTAAATACCAACATTCGCTACCATATATCTGCAGCGAATAATTCATATAAATAAATATATTCTTAACCCAATTATAAATAATAAGAAATTTAATGAATATGGTAAATAATATATTCATGATAAATATATTCATTTATTTCCCTCAATTTACCATTAATTTACTTGAACTCACACACGACTTGATATGCTAAACATGCTAACGATATGTTTATTAAAAACAATTTTGTATTATTTTCAAACTGTATTGTCAAAAACTCGTAAATTTTTATTTTTTAGGATAAAAATAAAATATTTTTATTTAAAAAAAAATTTTTATTAGGTAAATCTTTTTGCTATGAATATTTTGATTATGAACTAAATTTGAATTGTTTATTAAAATCTAGTTAACTATATTAGCTGATCAAGTTGTGAAATAAGGTTAAAATAATTGACTTCTAAACTAAGCGTAATCAAAAAATAAAAGATGAAGCAAAGATGATATATAAAGAAAGTGATGCTGTATTAGATACTATGCATCCAGATTGACCATGGTCGCAATGCTCCGCTTCGTTGGGAGCTGGTACCCGTTTATTTCTATTCTATTCTATACATTCAGCAATTGTGGAAAACGAAAATGTTATAACTAGCGGATACTGAATATTAATATGATTATTAAAAATAGCAGCTATTTAAACAAATTAAGAATAAATTAAAATATATTGAGATTTATGAGGTTCATTGGGATACCATTAGATTAGTAATTAAAACAAAAGGAAGCTTTCTAATTTTATTTTCGAAAAGAAAAAATATTTACAGATTAAATATTCACAAATAGAATTTAGAATTTAGTCAAGACGACTTGTATTTTTTTAGAGTTTAGAAAACTGAAGAATTAACATTATCAAAAAATATACATATAATAGTGTATTTCTAAAAACAAAAAAAAATTGATGTAGCGACTGAGAATCAAAGAAGAGACTCGAGTAGTAAATAATTATAAATTGGAATAAGTTGTATATAAATTTGTATGCCAAGTAGTATAATAAAAACTAACTATACTAAATTTGTAGGTCTAGATCTTCTAGCTCTAAAGCATAATATTTAATTAAGAGCGTTTTCATATTAATTGAATATATTAAAATATATTTACAATTTCTATTTCAGTGTAAAAACAAAAATATACCTCAATTTTAATTTGGAGAAAGTTTTGGATCAACCGCCAAAACGTATCAAACGCAAATGGAACGAAAAATACTATATGCCTTTCGAGGCTGGATAGCTTTTGTAGCTTTTATGGATATGGGAACAGCATTCCGTAGTTATATAGAGCGTCGTAGCTTTTTAGGTGATCACTCTGAAACACAATTTATTGAAGGTTAGTTAATGCATATTAAATTTGAATATTATCTATAATAACTCTTCTAATAGGTGATTATACAATATCACGCATAATAGGCATGTATTGTTTGCTTAAAGCAGTAGCACTTGTGCATTGCACTTTATATATACATTACAGACCGTAAGTTCTTATTAACCTTTTTGAAATAATTAATAAAAAGTTTTAATTTATTGTTTTTAAATATTATCCATTAAAAAAGTGTCGTGAGTATGGGTGGTTGTGCTTTGGCTTTAACCATGGTATTGTATGTCAGCGAAACTTTGTACTTCCGTTCAAGTACACTTAATTTTTATGTGATCTTTCCATGCGTTTTGAATTGTAAGTTAATTTTTGTGAAATTAAAAAATAATTTAAATTATTGTATAATATCTATTTCTAAATAGCAATTACATTAATTGGCTTAATATATATACCAAAACGTTTACGTCTCTGGGAACCAAATATGGATCTAGATGATGAAAACTCTCAACTGTTAAAGCAAATGACTGGCTTTAAACGTCGCCGAGCGAAGAATAAACAACAATAAGCTTCCAATTTTACTGGAATAGTGATATTTTTAATATAAACTCGTATATGCATTATAGACTTTTACGGCTTTCCAAAATTTAAACTTAATTTATGCTCTCTAAACGTAAATTCTTAAATTTATTATTAATGAATTACATATTTTATAGAAACTCAAGAAGTCTTTAAGAACATTGGTCAATTTCTGACATAATCATTTATTATCGTTATATATATCCTCGTTTCATAAACGATTTATTATACCAGTTTTAATATATTAAATTCTATCAAACTATCTAATATATAATTATGATAACTTAAGCATTAATATGGCTTATTTTTTTATAATATTAAAATTTAAATAAATATGAAACACATTAATAAAATACTTAGAGGCACTTTTGTAGTGGCAATTAAATTTTATAATTTTTTATTACGAATATAAAAAGTTATTTATACATTAGATTAAAAATTGTTATCGCATATTATATTAAACCAAAGCAATAGAAGTTTTAATAAATAAAATAATAAATACTAAATTTACTCATATAAAAGTAGATTTTGTTTTTTTAAATAATATTAAATCTTTCTTTTATTTTTATATACTTTAAGTGAAGAAAAGATATATAGTGTATGTGATAAGAGTGTTTTCGATGATAACCATATACCTACAGAATCCAACATAATAGGATATGAAATAAATTATTTCATTATTACATATGTTAATGAAATAAAGATTTGGTCGTTTCCATTGACATTTATGCATATGAAATAGCTTGTTTGCTTATATTTTACGTATAAAACATATAAAAAATATTTTACATTTTGGTAATTTCCTTTGTGGGGAAATTTATTTTTGAAGTCGACATTTTTCATCTTACATCAGTTGATTTATTTACAATAAGCTACTTTAAATGAAAGGATTTTGTATTGTAAATTATTCTCATTGGCGGTCTTAATGAGAAAAACTGCCTAAATGAGACAAGTGGAAACATGGTTTTACGTCTTAATAACATTACAATATTTACATTTCATTATCATTACACGTGGGTTAACGAGTTTTGAGATATTAGATTAAAATATTTACAATTCGGCAATAAAATTAAAATAGAACAAAAAAAAAATCTGAAATGAAATGAATATATTAATCATAGAAAAAATTCAGAGAGTATGAAATAAAATTATCTGACAAGCTATATGCGCTCCGTGGTTTGTCAAAAATAAAAATCTACTCAAAGATCTAAATCTACCAACTGTTAAAGAAGTTATTCCCCAATATACACCTAAATTCAAGACGCATCCAAATCCTTATGTTTGACATTTATTTTTTGCAACGGCACTAAACCACCTTAAATAAAATCATTGATAAAAATTCCCAGTACTTCATGTTGTTGTTGTTGTTGTGACTCGCGGAGATCTGCTGACGTACTTTTTTTCAGGAATGTAGAATCATTTAAATTCTACTCGTCAAACTCGCACCGGGACATAGACTCTACAGTTTTTTAAAATATTTAAAGTCGCACATCACTTCAGTGCTATAACACATCTGTTTATAATAGGGGTATTCAGGCAACTGATTAGTTGCTTAGTTGATTCAAAAACTTAATATAAAAATAATTTAGCATTTTGATGTTAATTAGTTGCTTGAACGACCCAAAATGCGTAATCTGATTAGTTTGTTGTGTGTAAATGCCTTGGCAGCACTCGCATCAACAGCAAAAGCGGAACATACGTTAACAGTGAAAATTGTTTACACACAATTCAAACAGCTGAGAGAGATAGCTAACAAATTTCTATACAAAAGTTCATTTTAAGTTATTATTACGACACTTGGGACTGGCAGCACTATTAATCAAATTTGTACTAATCTGAGAATCACCGAAATAGTTGATTCCCTGCTTAGTTTCATTTTTGTGTGCAAATTTTTGTTGTAATCAACTACTAAGCAACTAATCAGTTGCCTGAATACCCCTAATATTCCATATACGCCAATGATTATATAAACCACATATCGTACGGTACCGTATCATATCATAAGGCCATACCTTATTTTCTACCTTATGTTATCATTTTATTGCAGTAGTTTGAAATTTCCAACAGGGCGTGTTTCTGATCATCTTTAACTGAACGTACACAAGAGTAAAAGTATGTACAAAAAAAGAAGTTGGCGCAAAACAAAGTGTTTAAACATTAATCATTTTTAGCATAAAAATGTATAAAAATCGCAAATTTAATAAAAATTTGAAACAAACGACAAACAATCAGACTGTTTCAAAAAGGAATTTAAATGTAATTGATGAAAATACAACAATAAAGATTGCAAAGGTAAAAATGAACTGCGGTTTATTTACACACAAATGATTTTATATTTCACAACAATATCCTGTGATTACTTAGACAACAGATGCCTCTGGGACTTCTCACTCAAGGCGGACTAGTTTTGGTAGTAATAACGAAAATGAATTTAATGTGGATGCGTTTAATAGTGAAGAAAATATACCGGCGTCTCAGGAACCCACTCAACGTTACCTGTCCCAACGCAGTATTGCGGCCTCCTTAACGCGTACGCAATCACGCGGCAACACCACACGTCCACCAAACACTTACTTTGAAATGGTTTTAATGAAATCTGGTGCACTATTGGATGAGGGTGATAATTTTGTGTTGTGTAAGTTTAGTTAAAAAAATAATGTTTATATGTGATCGCTTATTGTTTTTAATTTCTTACAGCTTGCGATCATGTTGCTTTTGTTAGTAAATTTAGAGAAATTTTAATGAAATCTCAAAACTACCCGGACAATATTGAAATGTTTAAAACTGGCTTAAGCGACGCTTTAGCCACAAAACCTAAATTAACGCAAAAGTTATTAAGTGGTTGCACAATTAATATGCCCGGTGAGGAAAGTGTCTATCAATCCCAAAATAGTATGATGGTTAATTTTTTAATGATTGGCTTTCTTTGTGATCATGTTTTGGATATACTGCTTGATAAGGCTGAAAAAATTGCTTGTGGATCGTAAGTATGATGTTATATTTAGTTAAAATGATTATTAATTAAATATTTTTTATATTTTTAGCAATAAAAATCTAACTGGTAATAATGTACCACTGTTGACTTTGTTGTTGGCACAAATGAGAAACATTACACTATCCCATGGCACTGTTATCAATGAACGTATACATTCCATTTTTGAAAAAGCTAATCCCAGTGCTAGGATGGAAATAATTGCTAGTGCGGAATTTATAATCGAACCAAGCAAACATGATGAATTTGTGCAGCTGTTATTGTAAGCTTTTATTTTTCAATTTATATTAAAATTGTTAATTGTTTTTTATTTTAGAGACAATATTGCTGAAAGCAAAGATTTTTTCAATCCCGTCATTATGCAGTGTTTAATCCATTTGAACTTGACCCCTCATATGCAAGGAAAAATACGTAATAAAATTTTATCTTATATTAAAGAAAGCCAAAATCAGCATACCGTAAGTATTAAATACAATAAGAACATCAAAAACAAAATAATTTAATTAAATTACACTTAAATAATTACATAAGTTTTAAGTCTTAATAATAATTGGTTATATTTTTAGCTGTTACCAGTTGTTATTCAATTCTTACTAAAAATATTAAATGAAGACAATGATGAAAGTGTACGAGAAGTAAGATTTATAAATTATTTTAATTAATATATTTAAATAATGTGCGCTTAATTTTTAGCTTGTGAATACATTGAGAGAAATTTTAATATATCTTAATGATATTTCTGTGATAGAAAAACATTCAGAAGTTTTTAATCATATAGAACAAGGTCTTATACGTTCCAAGAAATTTTACACACTTTGGCAGAAGAAGATTAGCGGTTTGCCTCCTGTGGAATTTAAGTTAGTTGTTATTATATTTAATTTTAATTAATATTTATTTCTTTATTTTAATTTATTTTTTATTTTATTTTATTTTAATTTATTTTTTACTTTAATTATTTTTATTTTAATTTATTTTTTATTTTAATTATTTTTATTTTAATTTATTTTTTATTTTATTGTAACCGTAATTATATGAATACCAATAATTAGTTTTCAATTAAACTAAAAACTAAAAAAACTATCACAAGTCTTGTTTCTCTATGAACACGACTTTCTACTTTATATAATTTGATTAGAAATAATAATTTTATTACATTTTTTATTTTGTCGCATTTTTATTGTTTTACAACAGTAATTATATGAATACCAGTGATTACTTATCAATTAAAAAAATAATATTTTTATTTTATTTAAATAATTTGATCAGAATTAATATATGCAAAGCTGACGTTCATAGTTGGTATAGTAACCGTTGAACGGCACTTGGTCGTCATAGTTCACATGTGGCTCGGGGGCTTAAATACTGCAGCTTCTGGAACCTTTTTTGGCTTACAGCCCACCTAGTCTGTCTCCTAACCCATGTATTGCTTTCGTTATTGTAGCCTGGGTTAGGATGTGAATGGGTAATGGTTGGGAAAGTAATTCCTTTAATATCTCCTGCTATAAAACTCACCTAAATATAAATATAAAACTCAGTAAAAATATATATAGTATATAGTATAATAGCTTAAGTTAATAAATATTATATAAAATTAAGAACTGTTAATTTTTTAGAATAACTATTAATTAAGAATAATTTCAGATCAATAGATTTCATGATATTGCTACTGCTAATATATATTAAGGAGGATAATTCAATGTATATTGAAAATATTGTAAGTATTTATTACAAACGTATATATTAGTATTTATTTAATAAAATTTAAAAATTAAATATAATTAAACTATGAAAATAACTCACTTCTAAATTTTCATATACAGATTCGACGTCGTATTAAACTTGAGCACATAACTGTTGAAATCATTTTTGATATCTGTGACAAGTACGGCGTTGCACTGGAGAAGCTAACTAATATTTTAATGCAAATATTACATAATTTTCTTAAAGAAAAACACAAATCAGTAGTAAACTTTGCCAGAGCATCTTATTGGTAAATAATTTTAAAAATATTTATTTTTTATTTGTAAGTTTCATAATAAATTTTTTCTTAATTTTCTTAGTATACTATTTAAAATAGACGCTGCTATACAAAAGGATATTATAAAGAAATTATTAGAGCTTACATATGATAGATCTTTGCAGAATATGACTAATTTAGCTTTGGAATTACTGACGGACTTACATCGTGAATATGCTAAAGAAGTGCGAAATTGGGGCATGCTTTTATTGGTATTTTATACACACAAATTTTTATTATACTATACACAAATTATATATTATATTATTTTTATTATAGTATAGTGAAGAAAGCTCTCTTTAAAGGACAAAAATAGCATAAGCAATTCTATCCGATTTAGAGAACTAGCCGGAAAAAAGATTGTACTTTATATAAAAAATAAATACTAAGGTTCTACTTTCCGTTGTTAAAAGAAGATTGGGGTACTACATTGTATTGTTAGGTTAGGTTAGGTTATACCGGCGATCCCTGGTGGATCTACTTAGGCCAATTGGACTATTGTGTTCATTGTATTGTTAAAAGAAAAATTAAAGTAGTCAATTGGGTATATGGTCCGGTGCTACTTTCCTTCCAAGTAATATATAATAATATTTTTATATTAAAAAGAAGAGACTTTTTTGAGTCCAATTGATCTTTGGCTCTCTACCATTAAAATGGTTAAATTTCTACGTCTTGACACATGTTAATTTCAATTAAAATTCTTTCCATCCTTAATCCATTTTTACTCTTAAAAGACTCTTTGTGTTTATGCCATAATTCATTTAATAGAGTTTTCACTATTATATATATACATAAATATATACCATAATATATATTTTATTGTTATATGTTCCCAATAGCCCTTGCTTGACCGTTTGAATGAAATGTCATTATCACAAACGCGTATGGTTATGAAGTTATTATGTTGTATAGCGTTTCCTGAGCCTGGATTCCATGAATGTACTCCATTGCAAGATCAAATTGATATGTTGGTCAAGAAACAATTGATAAGTCGTGTTCCATTGTAAGTAAAGTTTTTAAACAATTTTAATGAAAAATCATTGAATATATATATCTTTTAGAATTAAAAAACAAGGAATCATTGGAGGTGTACAGTTGGTTGATAGCATTGCACGCGTTGAGAAAACTTATATTGAAATTGATGATTTGGAAACTACATTCAACACAGCCAGTGATTTACCAGATGGTCGTGGAAAAATGGCAGCAAATTATATTGGTAAAAGAAATCAATTAACGATTTTCAGCAGCTTAACAAATTAAAAAAAATAATTGCATGTACTATATTTGTCATTAGTTGGCAAATATAAATAAATTATAATCTATTCTCATATTTACAGAGCGAATACGTTCATCTATAATGCATTGTCCAGAATCGTTAGCTTTATTTTTTGATGAATTGGCTAGCATTTGTGTCGCTGGACCACATGATAATGCTAATAAAGGTTATCTTCTAGATAAACCGCTTGTTATATGGTTATGTGAAGTGATGACATATTACTTTCAAGACTATTTTATAAGCGAAGATACAACTGATAATATAAGGTAAAAATTGTATATTACTTAAATTTATTTTATAAATAATATTTACTGCTGTTATTATAGTGATATACAAGTTTCACTACAAAAGTGTTTGAATTCTCAAAATACAGAAACGGAGGAAAGTGAAGTTACTATGATTGCTATTAACATATCCGAAGCTGTATTAAAACCTTCTCATCAGTAAGTTATAGAGAATTCTTTAATTTTATTTATATAATTGATATAGTAATATTATTTTAGAGCTTTAAAGTCAGCCTTAGTATTAGCGCCACTTTTTAATTTCGTGCGTGTTTTGCATTTTATACGCTA